TGCACCGAAGAGATGGGAGCAAAATGCCTGGTGAGAGGTGGCGACTGTATTTGAGCCTCTAATCTCCCTGGGAGGCTTCCAGGGCAGTTCCAAGTACTGGGTACTACAACAGTGGCCAAGCATTACTGCTTTCTACCTGGCCTGGTGGTGCATTTAGTTTGGCACATGTTTAAAAAGAGAGAGAATTTTTTAATTTTGAACTAAAAATTGGGACATTCTGACCAAAAATCTGGATTTCTGGCTCACTGGCAATAATGAGTTGGAGCAGAGACTGGCCTCTGTAGAAAGAACGTGTGCTCTCTAATTTGCCACAGTCCTTACCACTCCCTAATGTCTAACATCTGGTTCTTTGTACCACTACCTGACTTCTGTAGGTGTCTGAAGTTTCCACTATTTTACAGAAGGATTCCCCTCTTCACTGAGAAGTAACGCTAAAGCTGCTAAAGCTACTACTCGTAGTACTGAAAAGGATGTTATCAAACATCAAAGGAATGTAAACAAGCCTTTTGGAGATACTTGTAAATTTATAACATACTTTATAACTTTAAACATTATCACTTTTTTCAGAGACTAAATATTGATTAAAATAGTTGTTTTTACTTAGTGTGAGGAAAAAAATCATGGAACAGATTTAAAGAAATGTACATTCAGAATCTTTAAATTAAATCATTACTAACATTAAAAAATGATGTTTTCATTAAAAAAAGAATATCAAAGGCCTGGCACTGTGGCTCATGCCTGTAATCCTAGTACTCTGGGAGGCTGTAGTGGGTGGATTGCCTAAGCCCTGGAGTTCAAGACCAACCTGAGCAAGACCAAGACTGTCTCTACTAAAAATGAAAAACTGAGGCAAGAGGATCACTTGAGCCCAAGAATTTGAGGTTGCTATGAGCTACGTTGCCACAGAACTCTACCCACCAGGGCTTTCTCAAAAAAAAAAAAAAAAAAAAAAGGACTATCAGGCTGGAAGGGGTAGAAGACAGAAAAGATGGGGGGATGGATGAAAGAAAAGTGAGACCGTGGGGGATGTTGGACTGATGTGGGCTTTGCTGGTTTTACCTCTGAGTTACTCACAACCTTTATTAACCACCAGGCACGCACATATGCCTGCTTAAACAGGAATCAGCAGGCTCAGCACCTGTAGCTCAGTGGCTAGGGCACCGGCCACATACCCTGGGGTTGGCGGGTTCGAACCTGGCCCAGAGCCTGCCAAACAACAATGACAACTATAACAAAAAAAATATCCAGGCGTTGGGTGGCACCTGTGGCTCAGTGGGTAGGGCACCAGCCCCATATATCCAGGGTTGTGGGTTTGAACCCAGCTCCAGCCAAACTGCAACAAAGCCACCAAAAAATTAGTCAGGCATTGTGGCAGGCACCTGTAGTCCTAGCTACTTGGGAGGCTAAGGAAAGAGAATTGCCTAAGCCCCAGGAGTTGGAGGTTGCTGTGAGCTGTGACATCACAGCACTCTACCAAGGGCCATAAAGTGAGACTGTCTCTTTAAAAAAAAAAAAAATAGCTAGGCGTTGTGGCAGGTGCCTATTGTCCCAGCTACTTGGGAGGCTGAGGCAAGAGAATGGCTTAAGCCCAAGAGTTTGTGAGCTGCTGTGAGCTGTGACATCACAGCACTCTACCATGGGCAACATAGTGAAACTCTGTCTCAAAAAAACAAACAACAACAAAAAAACAAACGGGAATCAGCAAATGATGGATTGTGGGACAAATCAGGCCCACTGCCTGTTTGTGTAAATGAAGTTTTATTGGAATACAATCACATCACTCATTCATGTATCATCTAGGGCTGCTTCCATGCCATGTGTCAGAGCTGAGCAGTTGTAGCTCTGCCCTGCAACGCTGAATTGTTTACTATCTGGCCCTCTGCTGGAAGAGCTTGGCTCATCTCCACCATCAGCGATCACCACCACTGCTTTTCCCAGTGCCTGAAGTTCTGAAAGAGCCCTTTTGGCTGATGGAAGAAGGAGCAGACCTTCCCGTTGAGCTATAGGTAGTGAGGGAGCAGCTCTGGCCTACCAGTGCTGGGGGTGGGCTAGAAGTCCTGGAGGTCATTTTTAATGGAAGGTAGCTAGGGACCATTGTCATCATGTCCACGGTGCCACCATTATTGTGTGTCATTTGGGCTGCTGAGAGCTCCTCCTTCCTGGTCAACAACAGCAAGGGTGACTCTATTCACCCACACCACCTTCTTCATTAAGGACCATCATTACTTGCACTTAACAGCTGAGGACACTGGACAAAGGCTTGAGGACTCTGGGTAAATACAGGACAGAGCTTTCTGGATTGATCTGACCCCTAAAGCCACTCTGCCAAGATTGTAGAGGCTTTTGGAAACCTGAAGCCTTAAAGCTTAAGACCCACACGCCCCATCCTTGGACCCGGGAGGCCCCAAGGTTCACTGTTTACTTCTCCACTTTCCCTGGAATCTGGAGACACTGACAGCAATAACTCTCTTCCACTTACCTGGAGCAGTGCCAGGCCCTGCCTCTTCCCTGTCTCTCAAACTGAAATATTCTCAGCCTAAGCTCTTAGTAGCCAGGAGTGTAGTCAAAGAAATGCGTAAGAGGAGCAGGCTGGTAACACAACTTTGCTAGAGCCCTGACTCAAGAGGCTGAACTGCTCAAGCTCACAGATCAATTACAAGTTACGATTTGTCTTTGGAGAAAATGCACAGGTGCAGGCCGCCTTCACCACTGCTTCCTAACTGGGCTCCATGCACCCACCCTTGCCGTATCTGTGTCATTTCTGCACAGGGGCCCAAGTGATCTTTCAAAAGTAGAGTAGTTTGGGGGAAAGACACACAGCACAACAGAGCTACTCTCAGATGAGCAGCTCCCCTCTGAGATCTGCCATTGGTTTGCCATTTTCAGTAGAGTCAAATCCTAAGCAAGGCCAGTAAGGCCCATCCTGCCAATCTGTAAATTCAGCCCCACCACTCCCGTTTCCTCTTTATGGACTAACCACACTGGCCTTCTGATAGCTTCTCAACTGATCTAAATCTATCCTCACTTTAGGGTCTCTGAACCTGCTGTTCCCACAGCCTAGAATTCTGTGCATCTTTTTTTGTTTGTTTTTTTGAGACAAGAGTCTCACTCTATTGCCCTGGGTAGAATGCTGTGGCATCATAGCTCACAGCAACCTCAAACTCTTAGGCTTAAGCAATGCTCTTGCCTCCGCCTCCCAAGTAGCTGAGACTACAGGTACCCACCACAACACCTGGCTAGTTTTTGGAGCCGAGGTCTCCCTTTTCCTCAGGCTGCTCTTAAACTCCTGAGTGTGGGATTATAGGTGTGAGCCATGGTGCCGGGTCTCCTTCTGTGCATCCCTGTATGGCCAGCTCCTTCTCACCACTTGGGTCTCTGCACAAAGGTCACGCGTGACCACTTAGAGCTATGCTGTTCCCTCCTCAATTCAGAGCACTTAAAGCTATTAAAAGGCATGCATTTGTTTACTGGAATATTCTCAATCTTTCCCCCAATTGAATACAAACCCCAAAAGAACTGAAGTCTGTCTTGATCCATGTTCTATTCCCAATGCCCAGTCTGGGGTCTGTCATGGTACCCCATACATATTTCCTTAATATCTTCATAAGAAATTCAACATTTTCACACCAATTCCCAGAAGAAATGTCACTGTTCATATAGAAATAGCTCCTCAAGTGGCCCCATGTTGCCTTCACTCAATTCCATAAAAGGCCACTCTGCATCCTTCCCCCAAACCACAACAAAACTGAGCAACACCCATGGGGAGACCCCCCCACTCCGAAAAATTAGTTCACACCAGATTTAAGAGCAAAGTAATTCAAAACATGAAAATTTATTCTAAGTTGTATCTTAACATACGAGATCTCAGCTTTAGATGAATTTTAATGTTTATAAGTGCAAAAGCAAATAAATATTTACCAGTTGCTTTTTTTTTTTTTTTGCACTCTTATAACTCCACAACAGCTTAGACGCAAAAAAAATTGTTGCTAAACATCTTGTAGTCTGGCAAAATGAAGAATTTCTTATTAAGAAAACCCCTCACAACAATAACAACCCCTCATGTTTATGTCTGCCTTACAGAAACCGTCAGGATGGCTCATCAGGACTTGAGCAGAAGATAGAGCAACAAATTTGCTACTGGTAAAGGCAAGATGAGGACCCCGGCCCTGGCCTCAGCACCTGTGAATCAGCTCACACACACATTAACAGGAGGTCTGGGACGGACGCCCATCTTTCTTGGGCAAGGACTATGGGTTAACACTAGTTCTCCCCAGGCCCAAGCTTTTCATTCTTTAGGTTTTGATGTAAATGTCACTTCTCCAGAGTGGGCTTTCTCACTTAAGGTAGTTCCTATCCCTCTCCATAATCCTCTTGGACAGCGCTGTGTACGTTATGTACATTTTCTCCTTAACCATCTCACACTCAAAGCTTCACTTAGCTAGCTGGCTTGTCAGCCAAACATCTACCGAGCCTGCTTGTTTGCCAACTTTCCTGCTGCCTAACCCACAGGCCTGTGCTCCAGCTAGCTGCCGTCCATCACCCCTTGGCCTTCCCCGTTATACCGTGACACCTAAGAGGCAGGGAGTGTGCTCCCTGGGGACACCACCTCACCCAGTGCCCGGCACAACACTGGCTGTCAACAAATAGATGGGTGAAGAGTGAGTTCTTGATGAATAAACTTAAGATCGGTGCCTTTTTAATTCATTTCTATTATTGCCTGATTGAAAATCCCAAGTTATTCTAAGGCAAGGAAACAAATACTAAAGGAAGACTTATTTTGCAAAGGTAACAGGTTCTTAAAATAAAATAGACACACACACACACGTGTGTGCCCCTTTTATAGCAGAGACATACAGGATTCCAAGAATATTAAGCACTTGCTGAATCGATTCCAAGAATTTAAACACTTGCCGAATCTTTCCCTGCTACCCCTAATTTGTAGAAAGAGGTGAGCATGTCTGCAGCAGCACAGAAGCTAAGTGCAGGCCAGCACCACTCACCTGGATTGACAGTGATAAATTTGCTATCCTCAGAAAATCGGTCCCCTCGGGGCTTTTTGGATGGCATGTCAGGCCTCCTGGGATCACTCCCTGCATACTGTTCCTCTGTGACTGTCGGGGGCACTTGGGTGGAGGTGATGGCATCAGGGTCCAGATCTGGGTCAGCATCCCTCCTCTCCCCTGGCTGGTGTGTGGGGACAGCAGTGAGGTCTGGCTCATGCCCAGGTATAGTCTGATGCCCCCTGTCCTGGGTAGTCCTGTTAGGAGATGAGGCCGTGGGGCTGGGCTCCGTCTGGTTTTGCTCCTCAGCAGCACGGGTCGTCCCACTCCTCTCCTTCTTCTCAGAGTCCTTCTCGCCCTCCTCCTCGTGCTCCCGCTCACCATCCTCACTCTCACTCTTCTCATCTTTTTCCCCGCCTTCCTCCGTGCCCTCACTGTCCTTGGTTGGTGCTGAATCGCTGTCTGGCCCTGGAGAAGCCAAGGCTTCTGTGGTTGTGAGGACCGGCCTGCCCGCCTGCTTGCCGGCTGCAGCAGCTGTGGGCAGGCGTGTGGGCCACACTGTGCTGGGGAAGGAGGAGATGCCACCGCCGCCAAACCCCAGGCCGGCGAGAAGCGTGCTGGTGACCACTGAGGCCACTGTCGCCTGGCTGCCACTGGACGAGGGGCCCATCCCAGTTGCCATGGAAACAAATGAGAAGGGGATGCCAGAGGATGTCCAGGTAGAAGATCCCGAACTGATGGGGGCCATGTCAGCTGAAGAGGCAGGAGACGCTGTGGGCTGGAAAAGGCCACCCAGAGGTTGAAGAGGGAAAGAACAAAGCAGAGACACGTCACCATTAGCACTGGGAACGAGGCCTGGCTGTGGCCTCCAAGAATTTCACTCTTTTGTCCTATGGAGTTTCCCAGAGTACGCTGTGAAAGGTCACATTTTAGATCTACGGGTGACCAATTCTTACTTTAATGATTTTATAATGACTTTGAGCACATAAAAAAGTCTAGTGTATCAAATTCAAATTTTCATTGATACTACTCAAGATAGGCAACAAAAAAGTAAGTTGCCTTAAAGACAACAAATAAAAAATAAATTGGCAACATTAGACAGTCATCTGTTCTTGGGGTGACACAGCCAGGATCCCCTTGATTTCATGTGTATCACTGACACTCAAGGACAACCGCCAGCTCTGGGGGCTGGGAAGACTCTGGGAGATCTGGTCCAACTCAACCCCACTATAGCGAGAAAGTGTGTGTGTCAGGAGGGAAAGCTGCCCACTCACATCCGCAGTGGCAGGGCAGATGCAGGAGCCATACTCGGCCCTGTAAGCTCTGGGGCACTTGTTTACATCTCTGCATCTCCATGCTGGGTGCCACATAGTCACAGTACCCCTCAGGGTACCCCACGGTACCCTTGGGCTTATCCACAGCAAAGTCCATGTCCTTGTGGATGCCAAAAACATCAACAACAGTAACAAGAGTTCCATTTGACAAGTGCCACGTATTGCCAGGGCTTTCCATGGTCCCCTAGAGGCAGGCATGATAATCACCCCATTTTATCTCAGGAAAGCTAAGGTACAGAGATTTTGGCCAGGTGCATGGCCAGGAAAGCACAAATGCAGGCTGTCTGGTCAGTTCACTCTCCCCACCATACTGAATTGGGGCTTGAATGTGGAGATTCATTCATATAAGGCATCTTAGGAAAACAAGAAATATTGCTTTATCAGTTTAATTTTAGTTCTTGTAAGCTCATGAAGAGAATTCTGAAGTCCATCCCATCATCCCTATAGTTCAAAACAATAGCCAGAATATTTCATCAGAAAAGTTTACCTTCAAACTTTATGCCAAGTTGAGTGCTGGGGGTGGCTTTTTTTGAATACCAAAGACCACACAAGATAAGGCATTTGGTGTAGAGGGGTCAGACTGCCAGGGTGTGAGCTGATCTCTCACTTGCTCTCTGGGAGATGCTGGACATGTCATTTAACTCGCAATTTCCTCATGCAAACTGGGAATAATAGTAACACTGACTTTGTGGGCTGCCTCATGGAGTAAATAATGTAATCTGTGCCTGAAACCCAGGAAGTGCTTAGTGAACTGTAGGCTATCGTTGCTATCGGCACTAAGGTGATTAATATTATAATTACTGGTTGTACCCAGAATGAGGACACTGAAATGTTAATTCAGGCTCCAGAAATTTTCATATCCATGTAATTTTGGACAAATGACAACCTCTGAATTTTACCATACATCAAATGAAGGGGTCAGACCAGATTAACTCTTTCATTCCTGCACTGTCTAACTGCACAGATCATATGTAATTATAAATCTGGGGGACTTCTGCTTTGAAAAAAATTATACAATATAACCCTCTAACAGTGTTGCATAGCTTGTTTTCATAAGGTAATGAGTTATAAAAAGTGAATAATATAAATTTTTTCCTTTTAACCTTGTAACATGGAGCAGTTTAACAACATTATAGTGCCACCTGGTGGTGACAGTCTTAATTGCATGCAAATTAACAACCAGCCATGACAAAGCCCTTACCATTCCCTACTTACCACTCCCGTTTTCACAATTCTGGTCCCTTGGAATATTCGAGTGGTATTTGCTGAGAAATAAAGAAATTACATTGTAAACAATTAAACCTTTTTGTTGTTTACAAGTCCAACACAACTTTACTCGTGGACACAAATCTCAATTACCATGTTAATTGTCACATGTCAAAATGTTACATCATTCCTCTCTAGAATTTTTTTCCCCAACCATTGTAAAATGTAAAATGCTTCTTAACTTGTAAATCATACAAAAACACGCAGAGAGCCAGACTTGACCTGGGGGCTGTAGTTTGCTGATTCCTATCTGATTAATCTTTATTCAATTAATTATATATATATAAACACTGTGTAGCTACTCCCCATGTTAAGATATATTCTCTAGTGCTTTGCAGGAAAAGGTTTGCTTGTGCCTGCACATAATCAATAACTACCCCAACCCCAAAGGTAAACGCTATTTTGACTTCACTCAGTTTTACCTATAAGGGAATCACATCATTCTATTGTTCCTGCTCTATTATCTTTTTGGTCATGAGTTCTTGTATTATCCTTTTAGTGGTTCTAATATGCATCCTTAACTTTAGAGTTCACCTTAAATTGGTACTTTAACTGCTTTGTAAAAATATAAGAAATATGCAAAAATTTACTTGCCTCACCTTTTGTGGACTGTGTGTGTGTGTGTGTGTGTGTGTATACACAAAGAGGCTTGTGCTTATTTATTTATTTTGAAGACAGAGTCTTATTCTCTTTGCCAGGGTGGACTATAGTGGCATGATTATAGCTCACTGCAGCCTCCAACACCTGGGCTCAAAGCACCCTTCTGCTTCAGCTTCCTGAGTAGCTGGGACTACTAGCATGTATCACCACACCTGGCTAATTTTTAAAGTTTTTGTAGGCACATGGGAGTTGCTATGTTGCCCAGGCTGGTCTTGAACTCTTGGCCTCAAGTGATCCCCCACTTTAGCCTCCTGAAATGCTGAGATTACAGGCAGGAGCCACTATGCCCAGGCCTCCAAAATACAATTTGTTAAAAAGCTATAAAAACTGCTTCCTTGTGGAATTTCAAGAAACCAAAGCATTTCATAAACTGAATTTCTGCTTCTTATATACATGGCACTGAAAGATTAGCCAAAAATGATAATTACCAAAATAAATAACAGAGCTGCTGTGATTTTTACCTAAACCAGAAATGGCAAGTGACCTACATATACTTTTGTTTGGCGTACAAGTCTTTTTCCTTAACTGAGTTTGCCACCAACATTGTAAACAATAGCTTTCATCTAAAAATCCTCACCTCCTGCTTATCTGAAAACTCACAACTGGGACAAAACTTGGCTCACCTTCCCTCAGGGTCACATTTGACTGGGACTGTCTGTCACCCTGTTCAGGTGGCCACATGGTCTCTAATTTGCCACTTATAGCTCTCCCCTCATTTCTACATAGCCCCTGTCTGGCCCCACAGGCACTTGAGTTTGTAACCTTGACCTCATGATTTATTCATTTTGCATAGATGGAAAGTAAAAACGTGTAAAGAGACAATTGTGGAGAATGGGCGGAGGCATAAATCAGTACCACTGTTTAGATTCCAATACGGCTGCCAAGGAGGCAAATGATGTGAGTCTCACCCGGGACTAAGCACAGCCTTCCCAAGATCAGGAAGTCACTCAAGGATGGATAGTGCATGGCCTCAGACAGGTGTGCAACCTCCCTTGGTTAAGACAGCAGAAAAGGTTCTCAGGAGAACTGCTTTACCTGTCCTTAAACAAGGGCTCTAATTAAGGCCAAGAAACTAAACAGCTCTTCCATCAGTATGCCAGCTTTCCATTAGTCTTGAACAATCTCCACGGGATGAGTTAGAGCCCTGGTCAGTTAGAGCTCTTGTGGCTAGGAAGCTGCCATGGGACCTTTCAGATCAGAAGTGCTCAAACTGTGGCCCCCAGGCTTAATGGAGTTCAGAGACAGGAACTGCCAACTGTGTCCTGGCTAAGACAGTGCACTGAGATGACAGTGCACTTTTTTCTACTTTGAGTGTAGGCATCCAATCCCAGCTGCTTTAGCAGGACCTGCGACTTTGTCTCTGATTGAAATCACAGATATTTTCATACTGCCTCCAGTATGGAGCTGGAGCTATTTTGGAGTATCATTGATGTTCATCACTATTTTCATACTGCCTCCAGTATGGAGCTGGAGCTATTTTGGAGTATCATTGATGTTCATCACTACTCAGAAATCATGGTAGCTCACAGATAAACTACTTGTCATCTAATGAAAAAAGCATGTATATTACTACGTCCCAAATTGGTTTAAAATATTTTGACAACTCTATTTGAATGTAATTGGTTCCTTTCCTATGCATTTCACTTGTTTATTTAAAATGGTTCTGAGAGAGGATTTGTGAGTCTTGTCAGGGATGGGTTTATGGCTGCAAAGAAAAAGTTCAGTGACCTGTTTTCCATGACTGTTGAGAATTTCAAAACAGCTTTTAACACTTAATTATCAATCTTTTTATCTTTTTGTTAAAGACTTGGCGTACTGGGTAACAGTTACTTTTGGAAGTGATCCATTGCTGTATATAAGCCATTGGGCTTTGCAACATAAAAACCAAACTCTGGTTAGTAACCCAGTGATTTTTCTTAAGTTACTTGCAACCTGAACATTATTTCCTCATTTGTAAAATAACACCTACGTTATAAGCTGCCATGGAGTGAGGTTCAGATGAAATGACTTATGTGAAAACGCTCTGTAACTACAAACTGTGGTGGCTATTACTATTATTATATTTAATGTGGTAAGGTAAATGTAACATACAGAACAGAAATATCATCATACTTACTACAGTAAGGCAAATATTCCACATGGCTTCCTCATGCTCCCAAGCCAGATGTAAATTTATTATTGGTAAATCTAATTATTCTGAACAAGGCCTCTGTGGAAATCTCTAGGCTTTTCTCTTTCCCTTTTATAAACAAGACTTCATAGCTGATCAGTTTTGTACATTGGCCTCCATTGCTAACAAACTCTTTCCTGGCTCACTGGAAAAGGTAAGATTGCTTACCTTGATTAAGATTTAGTTTTTTTAGACTTCTTGCTTGGATGTTGCAGGGAAAAGCTAGGACCACTGTGAGGTGTAAATAAAGGATCCTGCCCCTTTATCAACATGTAGAGATAAACCAACTGAAATAACCAGGAAACTCAAGTTCATCTCTGAGCAAAGGAAGCCTGTAGATGAACGGAGACGCAGGCCAGGTTCCGCAAGTCACTGTGATCAGGCATTTAAAATATTCTGTGCTTTGAATTTATTAGCTGATTGGACCTTTTTGAATCTTATATTATAAACATTTAACTTTTCAAAGTCCGTGCAGAACCTTGGGAGTAGGGCAGAACCTTGTTGATCAAGTAGGGCAGCTCTGCAGATTCCAGGCTCTTGGTCTAATCAGGATTTATGTGGCCGAAGTTCCAGGCCCTCAGCCTCAGCAAGGTCCAGTCTGGCCTCCCTTCTCTCCCCCAGCCAGCACAGACCTGGCCTTGCCGCAGTTCTTCCTCAACAAGGAAAGGGACCACATTCTGGGTAAAAGTGGACATAGGAAGTGTGATTTATTTATTAAAAAGTAAAGACATGCTAAGTTCTCTCTTTCTGTCTTCTTCTTCTTTTTTTTTTTTTTAACAGACAGGGCCTCACTCTGTCACCTAGACTAAAGCGCAGTGACATAGCTCATCTAAGCTTGACATCCTAGGCTCAAGTAATCCTCTTCTCAGCTTCTGAAGTAGCTGGGACTACATTATGCCTGGCTTTTTTTTTTTTTTAATTTTTAGAAAGACAATGAATGTCTTACTAGGTTGCCCAGGCTTGATCTTTAACTCCTGGGCTCAAGTGATGGTCCCATCATGGCCTCCCAAAGTGCTAGCTAGGATTATAGGTATAAAGCCACTGCACTCTGCCCAGTAATTTCAATTGGTTAAAATGTGAGCATCAGCAAAGAATATTTAAATACTAAAACAAATTTTCAAGCTAGAAGGGATCCTCGAAGAAAATCTAGGCTGGAGGGTTTCTTACCCTGGGTTCATCATTTGTGATTTTTTAAATATCAAAGCTAATACTAAGAGGGTGCTTTTTGTTTTTGAGACAGAGTCTCACTCTCTCACACTAGGTAGAGTGCTGTAGTATCATAGCTCACAGCAACCTCAAACTCTTGGGCTCAAGTAATTCTCTTGCCTCAGTCTCCCCAGTAGATGGGATTACAGGTGCCCGTCGCAATATCTGGCTGTTTTTAGAGCTGGTGTCTTGCTCTGGCTCAGACTGGTCTCAAACTCCTGAGCTCAAACAATCTACTCACCTCGGCCTCCCAGAGTGCTAGGACTATAGGTGTGAGCTACAGTGCCCAGCAACCAAGACGGTGTTTATTTGTAGTGCTGTTAACTAGATAACTAGCCCTATGTAAATTACTTAACATATGTTACCTCATGTCATTCTACAAAGACCCTGAGAGTTGGGTACTGTTGATACTACCCACTTTTTGGATTAGGAAACAGCAACTTCAGAAAGTTAAGAAACATTCTCAGAGTTGTATAGACACTAAGTGACAGGCAAGACTCAGGCCAGAGGCCCTCACTCCAGAGCCCCTTATCATGCATGCCCAGCTACCAGGGCCACCTCACTAGAGCTCAGATTTCTTCCCCACCCGGAACTCTTGATGCAGCTGGCCAGGGAGGCACCCATGAGCATGAACGTCTTATGGGGCTTCTGATGCTCATGACCTCCATGTCCCTGAAGTTGTCTGCAAAATTCAGGGAGAAGGTTCGAAGCCTTGGTCAGGCTGTGGCTAAGAACCACTGGCCTGCTGTGTAGGTTTTTCATGTGGATGGAAAAACCAATGATCCAAGATGCAAAGAATTTGACCAAGTAGGGTCCACTGGCCCCTGCTTCCATATGTTCTTAGCAGGTATCATAAAACCACATCAGCAAATTATGGCTCAAATGTGGGCTGCCTATTTTTGGAACCAGGACCAGGATTTAGGTTAGGGCAAGTGAGACAAAGTATATCCTATGCATCTTTATTTAAAATTCTGATATTTTATTCACAAAATTTTTGCATTGATTTTGCTTTAAAAAAAATCCCACTAAAATGTGACATATCTTGATCACTGAGCTTTTTGGCACCCCTTTAAATTTTGCACCAAGGCCAATGTCCAATTTGCTTCACCCTAGTTCTGTCCCTGGAACTTTCTATGAACCCCTGAGTCAGCAGGAATGTGTGGCTCTAGAAATCTCAAAAGATCCCGCAAGTGGGGACTGGATTTGTGCAGCTAAAGTCAGAAGGGTGAACTGTATCTGTTTTTGGCCGTAGTTTTTGAGAGAATAGCTAACTGAATCATGTGAAAATCCAAAAAGGACATTCAACAACACGCCTTGGAAGTGATTTTGTGACCTGGTATAGCCACAGAGCTAGGGGAGAGAGAAAGGTCCAAATCCTTGGCTTCCCACAGTTGGAAAACAACAAAACAATTCAAAAAAGGCTTTGCTTTCCTCCCTGCCTCTGGCCTGTGAAGCCTCCACCCCAAAGACAAATCTGAATTACTGAGGGTTTCCTTGCGGGGTTTAAAACCCTACTCTGATTCTTAGGCCAGCCTTGTTTTCTTGAAGAGCCACAGCGCAGTGTGGGCGGGGCCCAGGAGCGAGGGGGCGGCGGCCTCACCTTGGAAGAGCATGGTCTGGCTGAAGTCACTGCGCATGTCATTCCGGCACACGGCCTGGACTCGGAACAGGTAAAGGCTATCGGGTGAGACGTGGCTGATGGTTGCTTTCTGCAGGCGAAGACAGACAAGGCTGTGAGTTGGTTTTTAAGGGCCAGCGCACACTTTGCATTTTAAAGATAAACTCGGGTACAGAGGCAAGGGCTGCCAGACACCACGTTTTCCTCCTGACCAGAGGCTCACTTCAGAAGCCCATTCAGATCTCACCTAGAAATCTGTTTCAGAACCTTGCCTAAGAATCTGTTTTCAGCACTGAAATGTGAGGGATGAGAGAAATTTCTTTTTCATTTTATTTGTTTTAGACAGTCTCACTCTGTCATCCTGGGCAGAGTGCCGTGGAGTCACAGCTCACAGCAACCTCAAACTCCTGGGCTTAGATACTTTTGCCTCAGCCTCCCGAGTAGCCGGGACTACAGGTGCCCACCCCAATGTCTGACTAGTTTTTCTATTTTTGATAGAGATGGGGTCTCGCTCTTGCTCAGGCTGGTCTTGAACTCGTGAGCTCAGGCAATCCACCTGTCTTGGCTTCCCAGAATGCTAGGATTATAGGCGTGAGCCACCACACCTGGCCATTAAGAGAAATTTAAATAACATCATTCTTGACTAGGGCTGTTTTCAGCCCTCTTTATACTCACAAGGCTTGGACTTTTGTGATAATTACGGATCCTGATAAGCTGTAATTATTTCTCCTAGACAACGTCTAGAATTATCAAGTATACTGAAACCTCAGGGCTATGCAGAGGTTAGAACATCAACAGAAAAATCTCTGTGTGTCTGTTTCTTTGCGATCTAAAGGCCTCATTGTATCCTGACTGTGCGGAACATGGAAAGCACCAGGCTGGTGGGCAGAGGACACGACACCGGGCCTTCCACACCTCACTAGCCGTGCGACTCCGTGCACCTCCTCAGTGTCTCTCGGTCTCTGCCATCTTCAACTTCAAATGTAAAGTGGGGAGAGGTTCTTATGAGAACCGTCTGACACAGCCAAGCCACACCATAATGGGCACCATGTGCTGGGACCTGTGGAGTGTCTGTATAAGTCAGTTATAAGAACCTGGGTCCCAGGAAAGGAACGGGACTGGTCTAATGTGGGGGTGGCCAGCGACAACCCACCATCTGTATCTGTACATCAACTTTCCTCAGCACACAGCCAAGGCTATTTGTTTATGTGCTGTCCCTGACCGGTCCTCTGCAAGGGGATACTTGAGCAGTTACGTGACAGAGACCTTGTCACCTGGAAAGCCTAAGATTTCTAGAAGTTTGCCACCTCAGGTCCCTACTCCTTGAAGTTTTGTTCCAATAGCCTTTAAAAATGAGAAAATGGAAAATATCTAAGGAGCAGGCAGCTCTTGCTTTCTGAAGAAAGGACAACAAAAGCCACTGATTTTCAAAGACTCTTCCTAATGGATGAGACATCTTGCCATCAAAATCGGATATTTAGGGCCACAAACAGCAGCAGCTCTGTGGACTTAACCACTGGGCGGGTCTTCCCGCAGCCATTGAAAACCTCTGAACTGGTATTAAAATGTTATTGGGGTCACAACTGTTGCTGTCGCCTCAAAAAACTGCTTCCTGGTGAGAGTGGGAGGTGAGAGCGGGAGGTGAGAGGTTAGGGCTGTGTTATTTCACTTTAAGCCTCATTTATCTCTTTGGGAAAAGGTGGGTAGCACCACCAGCCCCACGGGTCTGTGGTGAGGACGTGAAAGACGGACACAGCTCAAAAATGCTGCTCAAACGTTAAGTGTTACTTTTAGGTTTCTGGGGCACAATAACTACAAGTTAGAGAATAGCTTTTTTGCTACTATGTCAGCACTCTGGGCTTGTTGAGGAGTTAAGAAAATTAATTTTGGTGTGTCCCCAAAGAAAATAGCTACCCCTAGAAATTCTTATAAAATAGAACTTGCTGTCAAAGCATGTTTTTCTTTACATCTCTCTCTTTCTCTAAAACTAATTTATGCCTCAATCTCTAAATCTCTGACCCCATCTTCTGTTCAGAGCAAAATCTTCCCTCCGTCTATGCAGGGATTTATTAGAATTCTCTCCAAGACAGTATCCGTTCATCTTTGCATGTTTAATTATTTTCCACTTAGAACAAGAAACTGCCTAAGCGCCTAGATAGTTTCTGCTGATTAATGCAAGCCATCTTTACTTCAGAAAGAGAAAAATCCCTCATGGACTTCCAGTTGTGACAAGAGAAAGGTTAAAACACCTCATAACCTTGGGTGCCTTTCAATAGATTCCTCCCTGATTTCATGAAGCTCACCATTCCCTAATGTGGTCCAGATAACAATGTCTAGCGGGGAAATTGAAAATATAAATGGAAATGAAGTAAAAGAAATCCTCATCTAAAGAAATAAGAAAAATATTATTCTACAACTGATTGAATGGGCCCCGAGGACTCTGTATTGAGAAAAAAAAAGTGATAACAGTCATTAGGAATCCCACTTGGTGCTACTCCATTTTTCATGTGCATTTATGGGTTTCATTATTCCAAACCCTTCCTTGGATTAACAATAAACACCAGGCTTTCAAACCCCAATGTGTCACTTTGAGTTTCTAGACAAAGACTTCAAGGCTGGTGCTTGTTGGAGGGTTTGCTTTTGTGAAAGAAAATGGCTTCCACCAACATCTGTTCTGGAGGGCCTTGCTGGGTGTTGGACACCAGACCGTTATGTAAATTGTAAGAGGTGAAGCGGAATTGGGCACGTGTGGCTGTAAGGGACGCTGGACAGTAGAGTACTGCAAAGCCTGAGAACAGAGATGAAAAGTTACATGGCCACAGGGATCCAGCAGGTGCTGGGAATGTAGAAGGCAGAACAATGTGACAAAAGGGAGGTGCAGAGACAGCGAGTACCTGGTGGCAGCGGGGATGTTAGTGATGGCGGCTGCAGTAGGGGAGGAATAATTATAATAATAGCAGTTAATATTTATGTAGGATTCAGTATGTGCCAGGACTTGAGCATTTGCGGAACTCAGTTTCAATAACCCTGCCATATGAAAAGGGCCTCGTGGCAGTTTCTCTTCTTGTTAGTAATGAAAGAAAAAGTAGCCAGTTTGGGAAGACCCAACACAAAGAAATTACCTGGCTCTCCTGGTCACGTGGCTGGAGAGTGCAGGGTCAGGATGGAGCCCAGGCAGGCTCCACCCAGTGTGGCCCCCACCCTGCTACTGCCAGGAGGCACAGCCCTTGGTGGTACCCACGCTCAGCAGGCAGCGGTGCGGCAGGAGGCCCCTTCACCACTAGAGGGCAGCGTGCACAGACTTGAAGGGGGCCTTACCAAGTCGGTGTCACTGTCCTTAGTGAAAGTCTTCTCCTTCTCATCCTCGTTCTTGGTCCAGCTGTAGGAGATCATGTAGTTCATGATAGGAGGGTGGTAGATGGTCTCCGGCTGGCTCCAGGACACCTGCAGCGCTGTCTGGTTCAGAGGCTGCACCTTCATGTGGATGGGTGGAGAGCTGCAAACTGGAGACACAGATGGCCGAGCTCAGATGGCGGCCAGCCTGTCGTGTGCTCCCGAGGACAGCAATCTCGAGAAGTGTGAAGAGTAATGTAAGGAACACCCACAATCCCTTCATCTGGGTCTTCCTTTTAACATTTTGCCCCATCTGTCCTCTCTCCCTCACTTTCTACATACACACACAGCTGTTTTTCTGCTAAGCCACTCAGAGCAAGTTGCAGGCATCCTGACACTTCTCCCCTAAATACTCTGGCTGTGTCTGCTGAGAATAAGGACCTGCTGCTGTGGAACTGTAATACCACTGTCATGGCTAAGCAGCTAGACACAACTTCAATAATGCTCTCTCATCCACAGCCCAGATTCACATGGCTCCAGTTGCCTCCAAAAGATCCTTTATCACTGTCCCCTTGCCCCCAACTTTGGCCTTTTTTCCCCATGACAGTCTTATTGAAGAAGCCTGGCCAATTGACCAGTATGGTGTTCCAACTACCTAAAATTGCAGATGAATTTTATTATAAATAGACAAGAGTGTAAATAAAAACAATTTAAAATAAGACTTTAGGTAATTTTAAGTAAAGGCACACCAAATAAGGATGACTTTCTCTGGACCAGCAGACACCATGTCATGATCCTTCCTCTTCTCATTCCTTATGGCTGGGAAGCTCTAAGAAACATGTTGGGTCGACATCCAGTGCTGAGAGCTTCCCGTCAGCCTTTAGCTGTGTTCTTTTTGGGAGCGTCTCTGCCCTGGTGCCTGTGGTCCCTGCCTTCACGGGGCTGGTGGTCCAGAGCAGGGTTTATCAGCCTCCAGCCTCTGCACTCCTGGCCTCTTGAGCTAGACAGTGCTTTGCTCCCAGGGGTGCTCATGTGCACTCTGTAGCAGCAACCTGGTCTCTACCCACCAGCTGCCAGTAGCATCACTCCCCAGTCCCTGCCCACTGTGACAACCAGGAACGTGTCCAGATACCGCCACATGTCCCATGGGGAGCCAACTGACTTTGACTGAGAACCTCCAGTCTAAAAGGGGAGATGAAGACTCACCAAAGCATCGCACATGCAGAGCTAATGTCACATAGCAAGATAGGATGGATGGGGATGGGGGAGGCACGTGGTATTTCCTAAGCATGTAAAAGGAGGCTGTGATGTGGGCTGTGGAACCCAGAGAAGACTCCCTTGGAGAAGGTTCATGCAACGGAGAGCTGAGAGCTATGTGGAAATGAACCAGGTGGGACCCAGGAACATGGGAGGGCAGGCAAAGGGGCCACGGGAGGAAGGCTGAGGAGCTGGGGCAGGGCACAGAGAAGATAGCGGGTGAAGGTGGTGGGGGCAGCTGGAGTGAGAAGCCTCGGACGCCAGATTCAAACTCTGGCCTTTCTCGGAAGCCACTGGAAAGATCTGTGCCCGAGGATGACAGAATCAGGTTGCCACTATACAAGATCCCCTGAGCTTCTGCTGAGTAGAGCAGGCCCCAGAGGAGCCAGGCGTGCAGCGGCAGCCTGTGAGGAGGGGCTGCAGTTTCTAGAGCTCACGGTGGAGGTAAAACCGAGAGGCAGGACTAGTGTGAGAAAGGGGGGCGAGGGGGACCTGCCGGTGTGGGTGCAGGAGTTGGGTGAGGAGAACAGCATGCTGGCCAGGGACCTTGGCTTGCTTCTGACCTGCTGGCGTCTCCTGGAGCCCACCCACATGCCAAGCAGCCCACCGGGAGCCACACTCTCCTGTTCTCTACCCCCATTGCAAACCAGCCCCAGGGAGCAGGACGGCTTTCCTGCCAGAGAAGAGTGGCCCAGCTTTAAATGGCCTGGCTGCTGGAGAGAAACAGAGATTGGCTTTGACAGGGTGGCAACGTTTTGCTCTTCGACTGCCCAACCCTGGTTCAGTTGGAGAGGTTCACTGTGTGCGACTCAGACAGGAAGGAAGGGACAAGTTAATGAGGCATTCCCACTGCCCGCAGAACCCCAAGAGACATTGCGCTGCCTGCCTGGTAAATGCCACCAGAGTAGGGACATCAAACAAAGAATCTGAAGGGAGAATTCTGCAAAGACGCTGGGGTGCAATGACAGCCCACAGACACTAGGTGGCACCAACTTACTATTTTTATAATAAATACTCCAACTTAATAAAAGGCTTATAGTTTCTCAACACTGAATGTAGAGAATTGTGGGGGGAAGATCAGGAAATAGTCACACCCCCATCTTTCCATATATTAATAACGAACCAAGGAGATTTATATCAACTTCTGTACTTGACAATGATGACATGTCAGATTTCCTAACTTCCACATCTTTTCTCGCCTCCTACCGGGTTCTTATTTATCTTGCTTCTTCTGAAGCCCTTCACCCCCCAGCTCCAAGCGGGGGGAGCCACGTGGGGAGGCATCTCTCCAGCAGTTGCATCACACTCACACAAATAACCCTATCACTCACAGACAGATGCAATCATTCTTCTTATTTACGTTTTGAAATGAAAATAGTTGGCTTTTTCTGTGTGGATTAAGATGATTCTTGTTAGTAATTTTTTTTTAAACCCAAGTAGTGCAAAAAAAGTAAAAAGAAGGAAGTTAAAAGAAAAAGTCACCCCAAATCCAAGGGCCCAGAGGTGAGCACAGTGGACATTCTATAGGTCTAACATGGAGATATCTTTCCATATACATGTGAAAAGTTGATGAAAATACACACAATTTGATGTAAATGGAAAAGGTAGGCATGGCACTATAACTGAATTATTATTATTTTTTTTTACTGAATTATTTTTGTTGTTGTGTTTCACTAGTTAATTCATCCATATACTTCCTTGTGAATAAACAGAGGTTGGTATCGTTGTCTCACATGAAGGTATAGAATCTTAATATCCAATGCATTAAAAAAATGCAGTAGAACCTCCATAGTCGACCATCTCCTTACACTGACCACCTCCGTAAGTTGACCTTACTTTCATAGACCAGACATGTACCACATGTGTCTGTATGGTAGGCCTAGTTCCTTATGTTGACCACCTCTCTATGTTGACCAGTTTGTTACAGGCCCTGGGGTAGCCAACTGTATTGAATTAACCTCTCAAAGGACATAGTTCTGGCCTCACTCTTAATGGGATCACATACTAGAAAGGAAATTCTGGAACTGAGGGGCCTCCAAAGACCTGGTGCTTGTCCCAGGATATAAGGCCAGGGTTTGCAGGCTGAGAAGCCCATGTCTGTCCTGTAGGAAAAACATTCTGAACAGAAACTTCTCTTCTGTTCTCCATTCCCCAGCCTGAGTAGAGAGGGTTTTTCTAGGCACCCTGGGCCAAATTTGGAGGAGGCATTTGCAGAGGACTAGGAGAACCTAGAATAGAGATTGGCTGTAATAGAGATTTTGCTGTAAAGGACCAGAAGGGAAATATTTCCAGTTCTCCATCTCTATAGCCACTACTGATTCTGCCTTTGAAGTACAAAACAGCACAGATAGTATGTAAAAATGAATGAGCATACAGCTATGTGCCAATAAAACTTTATCTATGGATATAATTTCACTTTCATGTGATTTTCATGTGTCATGGAATATTTGTTTGATCTTTCTCCACTGTTTAAAAATGCAAAAAATCATTCTTAGCTCGTGGCTACACAAGAAGTGGTGAAAAGCAAGTTTTGCTGATACCAAACTTAGGAGATAAAGAGAGGCCAAGCATTATTTGAAACACGCTGCATTTGTATTTTTTTTTTTTTTTTTTGAGATAAGGTCTTGTTCCATGGCCCAGGCTGGAATATAGTGGTGTCATCCTAGCTCCCAGCAACCTCATACTCCAGGGCTCAAGTGATCTTCCTGCCTTAGCCTCCTATGTGGTTGGAGGTACTAGTCCGTGGCACTGCACCTGGTTGATATTTTGGCTTTTTCTTTTTTTTAGAGGTGGGGTCTTGCTATATTGCCTAGACAAGCTTCAAACTCCTGGCCTTGTGATCAAGTGATTCTCCTGCCTCAACCTCCCAAATTGCTGGGATTATAGGCATGAAGCACCGCACTCGGCCTTGACACCAATGTCTGCCCCTCAGCATAGCCTAACAAGCCTGTTTCTTCACAGAGCTTAGATTCTTCCTTATCACTACATGGTGGGATTGTATTACTGACTTCACGCTTCAGGACTATCTGCAATAATCCCTACCCCCACCCGCAGCTGGCAGCTTTTTCTCTGGTCTCCTATGTTATCCTTGGGTCTAAGGTAGCAGCTCTCAGTAAGTATGTGGAGAATGAATGGCATACTGGCTGCCCGTGGAATAGAACCACAGTCTTTCTCCTGGTCTCACAGGTCCTGTGTGACATGATCCCAGCCCCAGTTTCCAGCTTCATGGCTCTCCATTTTCCTTCTCACTCCCCTACCTGTGGCCAGCGCCTACCACAGCCCCATGAAGATCAGCTTCAACATGGTACGTCCACTCTGAGGCTGACTGGACACCGTGTTCCCACACCCTCTCTGCCTCCTGCCTCACCGTGCCCCTCGTACCGTGACCCCACCATCTGCCCAACTACAGATTGCCTCTGACCCGATCTGTAAGTGCCTCCAGAGCAGGAAGCAGGAACAAAGCCCTTTATCCCCAGCAGGGGCTCACAGACGTACATCCCACCGACAGAATGAGAAAAGGTGTTTGCTCTTTAGTCAGATCACTGCTGAAGTTTCATTATAAAATCAGTGCCACCCAATTCATTCCTGGAGTCACCCGCAGGAGCCTCAAGTCTGTGTGAGGAGGCTGTCCCCAGTCTTTAATTCACACTTTCTGTGTGGGGATGTTTGCCAGTCAGAGGGTGCACTTAGCCTACAGAGGCAGCAAAACCCCAGAGCCTTCAGTGGGGGGCTGAGCCACGCATGCAAACGGACCACGCAAGCAAACGGGTGGAAGGGGGGGGGAGCAGGGGGTGAGGGGACGGCAACACCCTGGGGCATGTGCTCCCCCTGTCCGGCTTGATTTTTAAGTGATGGTAACTCTTCTTTCAAACCTCCCTCAAAAGGGCAAGTATAAAACAAACAAAAGGAGCAC